GTACTATATATGTATATTTATATATATATATATTTATATATATATATATATTTATATACATATATATATATATATATATATATATATATATATATATCTATATATATATAAATCTCGTGTCACGATGTTGGTTCGCGATGGACGCCCAAACTACTGGACCGATTTTAAATTTTATTGGCTCACCCGTGTGCATATATATCCAACTTAGGTTATAGGAAATTTTGAAAAGTAAATTTAAAATATAAATATATAATTTTTATAAATTTCTAAAAATTTTGACAGAAAATGACCAAAAAAAAACAAAACACTAAAATGACAAATGTCAAAATTTCAGGAAATTTCGATATATAATTTTTGAAAAAAAAATTTGACATTTCAAAAAATAAAATTCAAAAACATGTACATATATAAAAATATCCAACATTTAAATTTAAATTTGATGAAATGCTATATTCAAATCACTGTTTATAGTTTTAAATCTAATTAAAAATCAATGTTTATAAATTTAAATAAAAGTTGACATTAAAAAAACGTGAATTGACATTTGACAATATTTATACAAATTATTAGATAAATAGATTTATAATTTATATTCATTTGATTTGCTTACGAAATTAATTCGAATACCAAAACTTCCTCAAAACATAATAGATCACAATAAAAAAACGACATATTAAATTTAATATTAATAATAAACAAAATTTTGACAGTTCAGAAAAATTGAATTTTTAACGAAACAAATACATTAATTATTCCAAGTTTTGTTATAGGCAATATTGTAGATACAAAACATTATTGAAAAATATATTATATCATATTATATTAAATTTCGACCAAGAAGGAAATATTTATTTAGTTTTATATTTTTTATAATTTTCCATAAATTTTGACAGAAATTTACAAAAAAAAAACAAAACACTAAAATGACAAATGTCAATATTTATGGAAACTTCGAGAAAAAACAATTTATGATTTCTGAAAAAAAAATTTACAATTCTAAAAATATATTATTTAATACTTATTGAAAAAGGAACAGAAATATTATAATATATCCAACAGTCATATCCAAATTAGGTAAAATGCTATATTAAAAATAATAGAAATATATAATGTTTATAAATTTAAACAAAATTTTGACAGGTCAAAAGAATTAATATTTTTAACGAATTCAAATAAGAACAAATACATTAATTATTCCAACTTATATTACAAATCATATTTAAGATACAGAATGATAAAATTTATCAAATTTAAATAAATTTGGGCGGTTACGAATTTGAAGCAAATGCCGAAAATGACGTTTGTTAATATTCCGGGAAATTTATGAATAAATTGATTTATGATTAAGATTTAATTTGCTTAAGTTGTTCATTCAGGTAAACATCACAAAATTAATATAAATCATGATTGAAAACTAAATATTATATCACATCATATTATATTAAATTTCTAAGTGACAAAAATCAAACATAGATTTGAACTCGAATTCCTCAGAACTTTATCTATGTTAGTTTCAAGGATAGTATGAATATGAATTTATAGTCGGAAATTTATATTATGTTTTGTAAGAAAACACAAATTAAAAAAAATGCATTGAAATCGATGACTGTCTAATCATTAATTTATGGAAAATTTTCAAAGAAAATATTAAAGGCTTATAGCAAGTTCTCAATAGTATGTGACCAATAGTATGCGAAACCATTTTTAAATAAAGCATCGTAGAACATGTTAAAATGTTAGGACGTAATACCAAATAAGATATAACAAATTTATAAAAAACGCTTGGTTATTCATTATACATTTTGTAATGTACTCATTTATTCAAATGTTTAATTATTTCAGTTTATTTATTATTTAAGTAAACACTAAAAACACTAATCAATAGGATTGATCCATCATATTCAAATTTCAATCCAAATTTTATTTATTTTTGGACTGATATGATTTTTTTATAACAAAGGGTTTGAAATTTGGTTGTCAAACGGATTCAAATTTCAATCAGGTGGATTTTAATAAGGGCCGTTGCAACGCAAGGCTGGGTATGCTAGTATATATATATATTAGGGTGGTCCTTTTCGAATTTCTTTGCACCCAAGAGAGCCAATGCTTCCAAATGAATAAAAAATGAATCTCTAATAGTATTAGCTCTTAATATAATCATTTAGATAGAGCGTACGCCAATTGAAAATTTCTTATATTTGTTATTAACATACGTCAATAAGTAAATTTTTGCGACATCTGTACAGTATTCGCGAATTCAAATATTATGACACATAAGAATATTTATGAGCCACTTAACTTAACTCTTATTACGTTAGGTAGGTTCTTTTGAATCAATAGATAAAAAGTATTAAGTAATCAATACATCGATTGCAAAATGATTTGTTTAAAATAGAATTTTTAAAATGAAATAAATCATTTGGTTTTTATACATTTTTATCAGTGATAATTTTGTTAAAATTCATTTAATTGTTTTTTTTTTTAAATTTAGATCATTTTAATTTTTGATATTATTCCAGACTATTTGTTGACAACGTTGTTCAAAATAAAATTAAATTTATATTAAAATCTATGAAGTTAAAAAGAATAGTTAGTTGGATATCACGTACCTTAAATCCAGAAGAATGCATAAATGTGAAATTTATATGGTATATCAAGCTGAAATATAAGAAATACAAAAAAATAAATAAAACTTCATTATAATTTGAGGATTGTCATATAATACATAATGAAATTTATAATACCAGTTTACATTTAGTAGTGATAATTTTGTTAAAATTCATTTAATTGATTTTTTTGAAATTTAGATTATTTCACTCAATTTGATATTATTCCAGACTATTTATTGACAACGTTCAGAATAAAATTGAATTTATATTAAAATCTATGAAGTTAAAAAGAGTAGTAGTTGAATACCACGTACCTTAAAGAATTCAGAAGAATGCACAAATGTTTATGTGGTATATCTAGCTGAAATATAAGAAAAAAAAAACAAAATAAATAAAACTTCATTATAATTTGAGGATTGTCATATAATACATAATGCAATTTATAATACCAATTTACATTACAGTTTGACATCCAAATCATTGCAAAATAATTTAATAGCATTTTTTAGAAAATTAAAACATAATTTTTCAGTATGGTTAGAAGGAAAGCATTATGATTTTTGGAAATAACAAGACTATATCAGTTATACAATAACTGAAAAATATCTTTTCAATTCTTTCTCAATTCCTCAATATTGAGATTTCATTAAAACATTTGATTGAAAATATTTTCTCGCATTTATCAATAATTTACAATGGTTTTAATAACCATTTTATTCTATTTCATATAATATATTCCAAGTTTCATATAAACATATATACACTAGTCTAAGATTTATCTAAAAGCTTAAGAATTTTGCTGAGAAATGCCACTTCAAGAATAGCATTCATTTTTAAGTAACACTTTTTCTTATAATTTCATTAATAGCTTTAATTTAGTTAAACCACGATATGTCAGGATAGCAAAACTAGCAGGAGTTTATTTTAATATAGAATACATACATTTAATAATTTGAAAAATAAAAATAATCAATTTAATTGAATTATGATAATTTTCACAAGAGATACAGATATCCATGAAATATAGTTATTTTATTTAATGTTGTATAATTATTTATTAAAATAGGAAATTTGTTTTCCAATTAACAATAGTATAGGAAGTATCAGTATAAAACCTAATTTTATATAGTTGTTTGTTCACCCAAAGATTCACGTTTTTTAAAAATATTTTTAATTAAATATTTAAATAATGAACGCCATGAAGTATTATAATTGATTAAAAATGAGATAAAATAAAACATGTTAATATAAGTTATTATTGATTGGGTAGATAAAATATTAATTATGTTACAACATATATCTAAAACATTTGTAAAATTTGGAAAAACTTTCTCTATTTTTTCTCTTTTCTGAATTATAGCCGTCAAAAACTATAAATTTATTTTTGATTAAATTTATTTTCATTAGTAAATTTTTGTTGAAATAAATTTTATTTATTTTTTTATTTTATTGTTTAATAACTTTCTGAGTTCTGCTAACATGATGAATTATAATTTAGGATTTAATTTTCCACCAGAAAATTTCTCATTTAGTTTTCGTCAAATTAGTAAAATGTATGTATCCATTATTATCTATAAAACTCGAAATTAACAAGAATATCGTCAGTATAAGAAGTTTTAGTATAGTTTCCTCATAATCTATATTTATAGTCTTATGTACAGTTTTATCTAAGATTTATCTACTTATAAAGCATCTGTTTACCATAGTAAAAAGTCATTTGGCCTAGAAGATTTTTAATAGCAATTTTTTTCTTGAATTCATGATATGTTTAGCTGTTTTATATTTTGCCCTAAATTGAAAGTATATGTATATACACTTTTATATACATATATGTATAGTTATATCACATAACAAACATGGTACACACATTGCGATACTATATTATACTTTTATACTAAAGCTAGTAAAGAAAATTTTTGGAACATTCTGATTTAATGTGAACTAAAAAATATTTATAAATAATTTAGTTTGATTTGTTTTTAAAAGTTAAAGAATCTTGGTGGTGATCAAAGTATTTATATTGCTCGTCAGATTTAGAATGCATCTTTAATAAGTAAAATAAAATTGAATATTTGAAAATTAAATTTAATTAGAGTTAGAATAATTTTTTTAAAGTTTTCAGTTATTACTTAAAAAAAATCTTAAGTGACATCGTTAATGTTAAAACACAGGATTAGACAACCGTTAAGAAAAAACTATGACTTTTAATCCATAATCAAAAATTTGGAGCAATTTTCGGGATTAAATATTTTAATTCCTTAATAAATTTATTTATATTTTTAGCATATAAGCGTTATGTTTCTGCATTAAAATATATATAATTAAATATATTCTCAATAGTATTACTAACACATTTTGTACAGTTTCGCATATATTTCGGCATTCGATAGCATTTTTCTTACTAGAACATTCACATATGTCACTGAAACTATCAAAAGCTCACTAAAACGCATTCAATACACATTGCTTAAACTAAACTTTACATATTTTTTATTTTAAATAATTATTTAATGTTCTGTAGACATCTAGTCACCAATAACTTAACATTTTCACAATAAACACCATCTCAATGCTGTTTCCAACTATTTGCTGCATGAAAAAAATCAATTTAAAGATATAGAGAAAATGTTAGAGATATTAAAATAATTATTAGTGATAGCAATATATAATTATATACAAAATTTGGATGAAAAATATTTACCTCTATAATGAACGTCTTTGTACATCGTTGGACAGACTTTTCCTCCCTGAAACAAATATTATTTTGCTAAGTATCAGAGAAATAAAGTAAAAACTATTGTCAAAAATGATATTCAATTTTTTATTTTTTTTTTACCACTTTGCCTTCTATCAGTACATTATCATTAACATGATTTTAGAATAACAGTGAAAATATCTTATTTTTTATACCAAACAAACGCAAAGAGAAAATTAAAGAAAAGCACATTTATAGCACTTTTTAGAGAAAGATTATTATTATTTTTTGTAAAAGTTTGTTATATTGATGTTTGAGTTAATTTCTTTAAAATTAGAAAAATTGAAACATTATTGAATTGATTTACCAGATAAATTAGTCAGGTAAAAAATAGACAAATTGTACTCTTTATAACAAGAGTTCCAACAAAACCACTAATATGTATAAAACATAAATTGTGTTCATATTGCAAGAATTATGAAATAAATTAAATTATACAATTTTCGGCAACACTTGTATTAAATAAATATAAAAAAAATTAAATGATGACATCTTTATGCATCGAAGCATCCTAAGAATCTCTAGCAAAGGATTAAGTATCAAAATTATGTTAAATTTAATATCTTTACGTATTTCCTATCATTCAATTTTTTTCTAAATTGTTTAATTGATATGAGTCGATGACCTGAACCCAAAATGTAATTTTTCTACGTTTATCATATATAATAAATAAATTATCTAAAATACTAAATAAATTAATGTAGAAAAATTACATATTGGGTTTAGGTCGTCAATTCATATCAATAAAACAATTTAGAAAAAAATCGGATGATAGAAAATAACTTTTCTGAATCAGTATGTCTTAAAAATTGGATCCCTTTCCTAACTCCCCATACTTTCCTATAGGTATTTTGTGAATCGATATCTTAACCGTTTTCCCGTGAAAATGTGGCAATTTATTCTAAAAGCATTTGTATGCATTTAAGTGCATAAAGTTTGGCAATAACTCAGTAGATTGTATCGATGCAAGAATTTAACTCAATGTTGTACAGTAGTTTATGGAATTCTTTCTGGCAAACGCGTAAATAGCGAAACGTTAAATCGAACAAAAATATCCAATTTACTGCGACACCTAAGAGGAACAACTTTGGAAATTTCTCATTTGAACATTTACCAATGCACTTCTTGAATAAATCGAAACACAAGTAAATATTTGAACTGTGATGTAAGGTATTTGAAAGTAAGAAATAAATCCGCATACAGCTTGGTTAAAATTTTCTTTGAAATTAAACTTGGAAACGCTTGTTCTAAATTAAGTCCTTCCATTTAATTTTAAAGTTTTTCACAATTGAAAATTTTTTGTTCGTTAGTAACAATTTATTGAAATGAAATGTGTATTTATATGCACTGATAATATTTTTGTCGACTAAAAACAAATTGCAATAGTATTGTTAAAAATCAAGTATAAAATGCTAATTTTTTTACCCGCACATGTTATCCTAAAAGGAATCTATATGGAATTCTCATCAATCATCCATCAGTAATAATTTAAGCTATGAGATATTTGCATATATTTTGTTTAATGAGAAATACCCACATGACAAGGAATTTTAGATATTTGATTACTCATGTTTAATTGAGAATATTCTGAGAAGCTATTAATTTGTAGAATATAAAAAAGGGAATATACCTGGGTAATGATGAGGAGAAAGAATCATCAAATATAATAGCTGAAATCTATAAAAATTGCGACATTTTTAGCGTTTGAAATTTTCACCAAAAATATTTGTCAATAATAATAATAATATGCACTTACTTGCGTGTGTTTTACTTTGAAATCTATATTTGTCCGAACAGGCCTGTGCCAAAGAGGTTGAGGAGGTCTGTAATTGTTTCCAAGTGGCGCTTTTGGGTGTTCTGGTCCACCTTGCATTAATCTTCTCAGACCATGCAACTGAAAAAAAATAAAAAAATGTATATAAATAATTTGAAAAAATTAATTATTGTATGTATTTTATAACTCATTGGATCACTCATAATACAAATCTATTTGTTGACTTAATGTTAATCTGCTACTGTATGGAATATGCTTCAATTACTGCCATTTTATAACTATTCATAATGAAAAAGTAGTTGATTTCGAGAATTTTGAGTATTTAATCTAATCAATTATATCATGAATATGGAAAAATTAATTTCAAGACTGCTTCATTAAGGCGAAACGAAATTATTGATTTTATACAAGGTCATCTGAGGTGTGGCCAACGGGCTATTCCTCGTAATTCAAGATAACTCTTTTTTTCCAATATCCATTAGTCGCCATCTTGGAAGACTGAAGGCAATAATAATGAATTATGACCATCGACAAAAGTTTACGTACTGGAAATTTTCACTGGAAAAACATTTTATATATAGTTATATTTATAGATATATAAAAAGTAAATGTCAACTATGTTGCGCGATCGAAGATCATAATTGAGTTAAAGGTCAATTTCAACATTGTAATGGATATTTATTTGATTTATTTGATAGCACTAAACCTCGTTATCTCATATTAAATTCAATTTTTTAAACAATATTTAGTGGTTAACATCAATTTGTATCAAGTTTACACAAAAGTTTGGTAAAAAAATAGTACAGGAACGATTCAAGGGATCTAATAGTAGAAACTATTGAATTCAATCTAACATCAATTTTTCATGTTATTCATGATCCACCAGAGCAATTTTTGCAAAGTTTAATTTTCAAAATGTCTCGAATTGAAATAATCTTTGACTACATGAGTTACACCTAAGGCTTAACACTGCTCTAATAAAATTAACTAAATTTGTTTTAATACTCTTCGTACAGGATAGCAATAATAAAACTAAATGTATCTAATTACAATATTTTGAAGTATGAAATAATTCCTTATATTGTAGTGCACCATAAATAGTCCCTCTACTTTCAACCCTTTTTTCTCAGATATTAGTATCCTTGAACTCCTCAACCCAAGTAAATCAAAGGCCAATATTTGATTGTTTAAGAGCGTAATGGGCAGTCGTTTGTGCTTAAAAATGAACTAATAAAAATAGTATAAAAATATTAAAACTCTGTAAATTAATTTCTACTAAAATCTCATCTAATTGTAAATAAGATCAGTATTAACTCAACATTCAAACAAGTACATAACATATAAATCTATCAATCTACAATAGGGACAATCAAACTATAATGGGGTGCACTTTTGACATAAAAACTTTTTTCAAGCTTCTCATTATAAATTTTACACTAGCTTATGATATCACTTTGAAAAATAATTAAGCAATGTTATATAGCAATGTTTAAATTCAAAGTTATTATAAAACGTTTTCACATAATTTTTTTCTAACTATTTTATTTGTAGAAGATTTGATTAAGTAATCTACATTCTAACTAAATTTTTATGGGCTTTCTCCTATTGCTACTAAATAGACATATCTATAGAATAAGTATGGTATCTTCCTTAAATGTTTCTTATAGCTTCAAATGAAATTAGTAACCAAAAACTTTTGCTTATATTATTATTTTTGTATCACTGTTATTATTCTATTTTATTTTAATTTTGTTTTGTATTAAATTCAATTTAATGTATTTTTTGTATAATAAGATCAAAGTTAACAAATAATTAAGATTAACAAAAATAAATTATAGCGAAAAAAAAACTACATCTAATATTTACTTCATATAAGTCTCAGAACTTATGATGGTTAGTATACGTATGTAGTCTATGTGTGCAAAAATATCGCCAATTATTTCTAAACAATTTGATACAATTTGGCTATCAATTTGGCTATCAGAGCAACGGTGATAGTATCATCTTTGTCAAGAATATGCTTCAGTTAAAATGCATCCATAATCTAAGTCGATTTTAATAAATGAGACTATTCACACATGTTGTATGAAATCTTTTTTATGCTAGCTTAGAAAAAGAAAAAAGTCCTAGGCTCTGCAATAAGGAAGTTTGATGCTGAGAAACTGAGATGAAGAATTAGTGATATCGAGTTATACTTGAAAGTTCAAGTAGCCATAATAAGACAGACCAACCAGTTAGGTGTCTTCTCAAAAAAGCGACTAAGTCAAGAAGTATCATCACAACAGTTGACATAACTCTTAAGTTCTTACTGCTGGTCCAAACAGGAATGAGCTAAATGGAAACCTGCCATCAAAATAGCCAATGAGCCAAATCTGTGTCATGACCGTATCAAACAGTATTTTAAAAATGCCGATAAAAACTATGTACCCGGTCAAATCACGTACAAAATTCAAAATTCACCTTATATATCGAATTCCATTCGTAAAGTGTATACCGTGTCAAAAACGTTAAAAATATCTGAATTCGACGTTTGTATTTTTCGAGTATGCTTCAAAGCGTTCGAATCGGATCGCACGGACGCGTTTTAGTCGCTGATAATGCGAATATCTCGTTATTCGATCGTATTTATATGCCAAGCATCAAAATGATGTAAACATATTTACACAAACATCTAAAGGATCAATAAGCAATACTGATGAAGTTTCCATATCTAATATCTGTGTTTGCATTTAGGATGTTTATCCAAGTACGCAGATTGCCTGATAATATAAATCTTTGTAGCGAATTATGTTTCCGGGAAAATTGGCGAAATAAAATGTTCAAATACGATATAAATCGGGCTATAACCGGTCGGGTTTAAATATAATTTAATTTCTGATTTTCATCAATGGGCAAGAAATTCTTAATCCTAATTGAATCCAGTCAATACAGGTTAAAAGTTACTCAAATATCTAGTACTCCAGAGTCTGGCACTCGAAGTGTAACCAATTGAAAAAGTCATAAATTCAGTTTGGAAAATTACTTTTACTCGATTAAAATTTAAAGTACAAAATGTGTAAAAATAATATAAAATTTAAAAACAATTCACTTTTGCTCGATATGACCACCTTTTGCTTTGACTATGGCCTTTAGAAGGTCCAAAAACGAATAGGAACATTTTGAAACTTGGTATATCTCAGGTTATCATTTGCAGAGATCCGAGATTTGCAGGAAGTTTCGTAAGAACCATTGAAAGGTTTTGAATTGCGATGAATGGTAAAGATAAGTAGATATCTAGATATGGTGGCACCAAGTCTCAAGTGGACAAATATTAAGAAAAAAGGATTAGTTGCAAGTAAATTTAGATTGGTCTCGATATTGCAAAAATAAAACAACTACAGAATGCTGTTCAAATAAAATAAATAATTAAGAATTTATGGGATTGGACGAAATTTAGGAGCCCATTTTTGGTCAAAATAAAAATGTTGTATTATTGCTATGTTACGAGTTTGTGATGGTATGAGTTAGTATTCACAAACTGTCACAATGCTATGTATTTGCTATTTGATCAGACGTTTTGCACATAAAACCTAATCTTCAAAACGCACAATTGTTTAATAACAATTTTATAATAAGTACAACGTTCTGATGTCTGTAAATTTTATCATAAGCACAACTTTTAGATGTAAAAGTACATTTAAAGTCTGTGTAAGCAGAAGTTTTATATGAACCAAAGAGCATTTGTCACAAAGCACAAAATTACATTCACTTGGAATATTTTTTGAAGATTTGGATTATATCAATAACAGTCCCAAAGCTCTGTATATGCGAGTAGCCAAAAATAGATCTGTTGCCAAATAACAATATTATATTATAATATATTATTATAATTATTATTATAATATTATATTATATTATATTATAATAAGTACAACTTTCTGATGTCTGCAAGTTGTACCATGAGTGCAATCTTCTGATGTAAAAGTAACTTTTACGTCGGTGTTGATAGATGTTTGATATGCACCAAAGAGCATTTGTCAGAGTACACAAAATTACATTCACTTGAAATATTTTTCGTAGATTTGAATCATATTACTCGAGTAATCAAAAATAGATCTGCTAGTTTAAATACGACCGATCATCAAATTTCTTTTGGTCCATATCTATCTTGGGACATGATCTTTCGATTCTAGTTGTGGAATATTGAGTATTTAGGTATAGTTTGCAAATGTTTGTTTAGATTAATAGCCGCCCCTTTGGCGTGCAAATATACCCATCAAAAGCACAACGGAATTGTCTAGCACGCCCGGTGCCAGGACTTCATGATTTACTCAACGGCGATGCATGTACGAAGATCTATTAGGCGAATGGTTCGACGATCATATTTGGGTTCACAGACTGACTGAATTGATTTAATTTAGTTGTACAATCATTTATATTATATCCAAAATAAGAATAATATCCATACTATACAATATCTCAAGTTTGAACATAGCACACACTTTTGGGCCTAACCAAAAAAAAATTGAAAAAATGCTACATCACACACTTATAAAGATTAATAGTGTTATTTTTAGGGTTTTATTTTTTCACTCGAAAATTTTCATTAGTAAATTTATTATGTATTTTACAATTTAAAAACTTTGATTGAATAAACCAATACTTGATTAAACTTGCTAACACATTTTAGAATATTTTTTATAAAGAATAGTCTCTCATAGTCGACTGATTTTAAAAATTTTAAATTCATAATTCACCAACGAGGCGTAATTCTCGAAAACTTGGGGTGCTCTAGAGTTTTGTTGTTCTTTTTTGCCGTGGTTCTAAAAATGTTATTAATGATTCCAAACTTTAAATGAACATGAAAATTAACCACAACTAAAAAATAGTCAAAATTTTACGAAAGCTCTAGGTTACACTTAAATGCTGATAATTTTCAAACAAGCTGAGATAATTTACTTTCTAATTTTTCACCCAGTTTCGGATTGACGTCAAATTTTGGGACACCCTGTATATTGAAAGTAATTTCGTGAATAGTTTAAATTGTTATCAATTCCCAAAGATGATCTTCTAAACTTTAGAATATCGTCATAAAGCTGGGCAAATATTGAAACACTATTGATTAAATTTGATGCAGTGAA